GGGGGGGGGTTTCCAATTATTTGGATCAACTAATCAAGGTAAAGTTCATTTTTTTAAAGTTATTAATTACTGCAATTATTGTTGAAATTTAATTTGAGTATATTTTGCTTTCTGTGATTGTGATTGTGTTTTCCTCTATTGTTTTGCTGCATTAATTGCAATATAGTGTTTAATTCAATCCTTTGTGTGCTATTTCTTGTTTTATATGTTAGAAAAATATGAACTTTACGCATTTTAGGCTTACAGTAGTCCAATTCTTGACTAGGTTTTCATTTTCCTATTTTGTGGTCTTTTTTAGGTTGAAATTGTTCTAGGGTTTAGCTTTAGTTTTGTTTTTCCAGTTGTCTAATTAAGTCTTTTTATTTTTTTCCTTTTCATGAAGAATTTGTAAACCCAAAATTCCTTTTAGTTTTGGATAGTGAAGATTTTGGTCCTACTATTGCATTTGCTATACACTAATTTTTTTTCCCTTCGTTTGAAAATTTTCTTTTCAGGTTGACAAGAAGTAAAAGTTCTCGGAAAGATTCAGTTTTTATAATCTTCGTGCTTGATCCAAAAGGCATTTGAGGGTCTGGTGAGTTCTCGTGTCCTTGTTCTGTTGATTGTACTTTTCTCTATTGCATGGGTTTAATCAAATACATTTGTAAATTAGGTTTTGGGGCATTCTAGTTGGTATTTTCTCTGTTGCCTATGGCGTGATCTGATGTGTAAGATTTTTGTATTTTAGCACAAAATTGCAATTGCACATAGTCCAGGTTTAGCGATTAGTTTTTTGTTGACTTACATTGGGTTTGGTGTTTGTGAGGAGTCTTTTCAGAGTGGTTAGGGATGTGAACTGGGATAATTGTGAGATTTAGAGAACTCTATGTTATAAGCAATCCCTACTTGACTCAAAGTACTAGGAGTAATTATTTAGTATTGGAAAGAAATGTGCCTAATACAGGTGAAACAAAGAATGGTATAGCCAACCTGACTAATTTGAGATTCAGACGTAGTTGTATAGGAAGGGATAGAGGCGGATGTTAACTTTTTTTGATAAGTAGATGTTACTTGTTTTCTTTTTATTTTGAATTGTGAAAAGGAGAAGGAAAAGGTGTATTGTCTTTCTCATCTTCACAATGTACAGACTAGGGGTTTATATATAGAGATTACAAATAAAGCCAGCTAGGGATATCTCTACAAATCAGGGATACATATCATATCTGATCTTCCTAGGATAAATATGGAACAAATATCTCGGCTATTTACAGAAATATATCCTCCCCAAAGCTGTTGTACAGCTATAACAAATCTTTTCCTAATCTGACACTCCCCTCAAGCTGGTGAATGGATAACTTGCATTCCCAGCTTGGTAACAAGTCCTTCAAAAGTGCTGTTTTGTAGTCCCTTTGTGAGAATGTCTGCTAGTTGATCCTTAGAAGACACAAATGGAGTGCAAATCAACCCACTATCCAATTTTTCTTTGATAAAGTGTCGATCAACTTCAATGTGCTTCGTCTGATCATGCTGCACTGGGTTATGGGCTATACTTATTGCTGACTTGTTATCACAATATAGCTTCATAGGTGCCTCCCACTTTACTTTCAGGTTTTCAAGAATTATTTTTAGCCACGATAGCTTACAAACACCTAATGCCATAGCTCTGAACTCTGATTCAGCACTTGACCTTGCTACAACATTTTGTTTTTTACTTCTCCATGTCACCAGATTACCACCCAAGAAAGTGCAATACCCTGAGGTTGACTTCCTGTCAACTAGCGACCCAGCATAGTCCGCATTTGTATAAGCTTCTAGAGTCAAGGTGCCACCCCTTTTGAATAAAAGTCCTCTTCCGGGCGTCCCTTTTAGACACTCTAATATTCTATGTGCTGCTCTTAGGTGGACTTCCTTCGGATTGTGCATAAACCGGCTCACCACACTCACGGCATAGCCTATATCAGGTCTAGTGTGGGATAGGTAAATTAACCTTCCAACAAGTCGCTGATATGACCATTTATCCACGGATAGATCTTCTGATGCTTCAGTTAGCCTGTGATTGTACTCAATAGGTGTAGTTGCTGGTTTACTCCCCAATTTCCCAGTCTCTTTTAGCAAATCATAGACATATTTTTGCTGTGAAACAAATATGCCTTGTTTAGAAAGGGCTACCTCAATTCCTAGGAAGTATTTTAACTTCCCAAGTTCCTTGATGTCAACCTCTTTAAGCAGACATTCTTTTAGATATCGTATACCATCTTCATCATCTCTAGTGACTATGATATCATCTACATATACCAGTAGGACCGTTGTTTTTCCATTTCCTGAATGTCTCACGAACAAAGTATGATCCCGTTGACTCTGCCTATACCCTAGTGTGATCATTACCTTGGCAAATCTTCCAAACCACGCTCGTGGCGATTGTTTGAGTCCATAGAAAGCCTTTTTAAGCCTGCATACCTTTCCTGCCTTGGACTCAAATCCCGGCGGGACCTCCATATATATCTCCTCCTCCAAGTCTCCATGGAGAAAAGCATTCTTCACATCGAATTGCAGCAAAGTCCATCCAAAAATGGCAGCTAGTGAGAGTATGATTCTTACCGTGTTCATCTTTGCCACCGGAGCAAATGTTTCAAGATAGTCTATGCCATAGTTTTGTGTATACCCTTTGGCAACTAATCTTGCTTTGTATCTCTCCACGGATCCATCAGAATTGTACTTCACTGTGAACACCCAGCGACAACCTACTAATTTTTTCCCTTTCGATAAATCAACCAACTCTCATGTTCTGTTTTTCTCTAGTGCCTCCATTTCAACTCTCATGGCATCCTTCCATTTCTTGTCCGCTAATGCTTCTGACAAGTTTTTTGGAATAGGTATTGAGTGAAGGTTACTAAGGAAGGCTTTATGGCTCGGTGAGAAATTTTGATAGGTCATGAGTGAGAAGGGATGTTTTGTACAATTTCTGGTTTCTTTTCTAAGAGCAATGGGTAGGTTTAGGTCATCTACTTGGTCTGAGGGTTGTTCTTGATTGTTTAAAGATTCTGGAACACATTCTAAACTTGGAACAAGAGCCAGATCCGATGATTGAGCTTGAGCTGGTGGATGTACTCGCTCTTTTCTTCTGGAGTAAACCTGAAGAGGTGGTTGACCGTTACTTTGAATTCTCTCTTCATTCTGATGATTTGTTGGAAACTATGGGGTCTGGAGTCTCAACTGACTCAACTGAAGGTTCAATGGGACCTGGAGACTCAACTGATACTTCATTTTTAGATGACTCGGCAATATCTAAGTAGAACACATTTTTGGGACTATCTTTATTCTTAGTCTCCCCCTGAAGATAGGAGGTGCTAAAGAAGGACTCGGACTCTACAAAAGTGACATCGGCTAAGACAGAATTTTCTAGTTTGTGGGTGATAACATTTGTAACCCTTTTGTGTTGATGAGTAGCCAATAAAAACAGACTTGGTTGCACGTGGGTCTAACTTCCCTCTATTGTTTGAATGGATATGGACATAGGCAACACAACCAAATACTCTTGGTGTTAGGTTCTCGGAGACATTGAAGTTAGAAAAGAAACTTCTCAAGGTGTCGATGGGAGATTTCAGGCTTAGAACCTTTGATGGAACCCGATTGCTAAGATATGTAGCAGTTAGAATGGCTTCCCCCCAATAGTTTTTAGGAACATTCTTGTGAAACAACAATGATCGGGTTATACTGAGAAGATGACCCATTTTTCGTTCAACCACCCCATTTTGTTGGGGTGTGTTGACACAAGACGACTCATGGATGATACCCTCATTTTTGAAGAATGAAGACATGATTTGGTTAAAGTAGTCTCGGGCATTGTCTGAACGAAATCGTTTGATAGGGGTGTTAAATTGGGTCTTGATCATATTGGCAAAATTGGGGAAGACATAGCTCACATCGGATTTGTTTTTCAATAGGTAAACCCACGTTACCCGAGTGCAATCATCAATAAAAGACACAAACCATTTAGTACCAGAAATATTTGAAACTGTAGATCCCCCAAATGTCACTGTGAATGAGATCAAACGGAAACATACTTCTTTTATTACTGACAGAAAAAGAAACTCGCCTATGTTTGGCTAGTTCACAATCATTGCAATGAAAAGACTCTACTGTTAAACCCTTAAACAATAGAGGAAACATAATCTTGACAATTTGAAAAGAAGGATGACCCAAACGCCGATGATAAAGCCAAATTCTTTCTTCACTAGACATGACTGACTCAGATATGAAGGACCGAGGGAGAGAATTCAAAGCTTCATTCTTTAGGTTCAGGTTTCCAGGTAATAGAGCCAGTTTCTAGCCTTAGCAAGCCCAATCATCTTCTTGGTTTCCTGTTCCTGGAAAATACAATAGGAAGGGAAAAAAATTACTCGGCAATTAAAATCTTGAGTAACCTTTTGAATTGAAATAAGATTAGCAAACAATTTTGGAACATGAAGCACATTTTTAAGGCATAGGGAATTTAAGCGAACGTTTCCATATTGGTCACAGTAGCAACAGAACCATCAACAATGGTGATTTTTCTATGGCTTAGGCAAGGGGTATAGGACGAAAAGTATTTAGAAGAAGAGGTCATGTGGTCTGTTGCTCCAGAATCAACTATCCACGGGAAGGAATTACTTGTCATGATATTAGCAGTACAACAAAGAGAAGAGATACCTGAGAATGTTAGAGAATATTTACCTGTCTCGGCTGGATTACTTTTGTCTAAAGAACTAAGCAAACCTTTCAGCCTTTCAATATCTTCTTGACTGATCTCCGGATTTGACTTAGCAGAATTATCTAAGTCATTTTGGGGAGTGCTAGCAACATAAGCCTGTCTCGCCCGTATGGTTATTGTTCTGTGGTTTGCCATTAAGCTTCCAGCACCTCTCTCTTGTGTGGCGATGCTTCTTACAGTAGGTGCAATAGAGAGAATCTCTATTGATCGGTTTTGAAGCATTTGTTGGCTTGGTAGAATTGTCTGATGACTGTAGCATGCCATTCTCCTTCTGCCCAGCCCCCTTTGCAACAAGTGCTGATCCTTCTCCAGCTTGAGTGTCAAGCATAACACTCCTACGCCCTTCTTCAGCCCGTACTATTGAAACTGCTTCATTCAGTGATGGAAGTTCCTCTTTTCCCAATACTTGTACCCTTACTCGATCAAGTTCAACATTAAGTCCAGCAAGGAAGTCATATGTGTGTTCCCTTTCTATAAAGCGCTTCAAGGTTACTGCATCTTCTGGACATCGCATCTGAATGCATTGGTAGTGATCAATCTCTTGCCACAGTCCCTGCAAGAGATTGGCATATTCAGTGACCGATCGTGCCCCTTGCTTCATGGATGTAACCTTCGTTTTGAGTTCATAGATTCGGGCTGCATCATTTACCTTTGAGTAGGTTTGTTGGATTGCTTCCCATATCTCCTTAGCCGTACTAAGAAACATCACTGTATCACTTATTTCTGGAATCATTGAATTCCAGAGCCAAGACATGACCATTGAGTCTTGCTCATCCCAGGCTTCAAACTTGGGATCTTCCTTAGACGGACCTGTACCCAGCAGATGACTTAGCTTCCCTTTGCCTCTCAGGAATGTCCGAACGAACTGTGACCATTTCAGAAAATTTTGTCCGTTCAACCGGTAAGCTGCCTGGACATTTTGCAAATCACCGGTTGTGATGATAGCTGGACTGGTCTCAGTTGTTTCAGACATTTTATCCTTGACTTTCAGGTTTCAACAAGTCCAAAAGGGAAACAAAAAATTTCAATCCTAATAGAATGATGAGAAACGAGAAGGAATTCTCTCAGGAAAGAGCTTTTGGCTCTGATACCATGTTAAAAGGAGAAGGAAAAGGTGTATTGTCTTTCTCATCTTCACAATGTACAAACTAGGGGTTTATATATAGAGATTACAAATAAAGCCAGCTAGGGATATCTCTACAAATCAGGGATACATATCATATCTGATCTTCCTAGGATAAATATGGAAAAAATATCTCAGCTATTTACAGAAATATATCTTCCCCAAAGCTGTTGTACAGCTATAACAAATCTTTTCCTAATCTGACATGAATTTCTACATATATTTGCATAATTATTTGAGGCGATATGTTGCATGCTGAAATGATTATTCTCCATTTCTATTCTGGGATGCTTCAGAAGATAAGCTACAACCACTTACTGCATGTGACTTTCTTTTTCTACACGTGCTTGATGATTTTTGCATCTAATTGCAAACTCATAGGTGTAAGATCGTCTTCTTGGAATACTGTTCTCCCCCCCCCTCCCCCTCAAAATCAGATGCCATTTGCATGCTTTTTTACNCCCCACCACCACAAATAACAAAAAAAAAAAATCATATTCCATTGACACGCTCATTTATTGTTTAGGCTGTTTTTTATCTGTATAATGCTGAATATGGCACTGTGATCAAGCGTGCCTTTAAACTTATTTACAGATGGAGTTAATAGAGTTAATATCTTTTTTCCAGTAGGAACTACATAGAAATTTCCTTTTTGTGTGGAAATTGCACAGTTAATCTATGTTTGTTCTCATTATGATACCTTGAAAACTCAATATCTCTCTTTTATTGACTATGGGGATGACACCGGTATAAATTGATCGAAATGGATAGTGATGATTCATATAGCTGATCTCTCTCATATAAAAAAATGAAAATCTTAGAGCATCATTACCGATTAGAAGTACATACCCCAACATAGTTACGAGTGTAATTTTGCGCAGACACACTGATCAAAAGGTTTGGTGCAGACATACAGAGGCGGACCTACATGTTGCAATGAGGGGTCACCGGACCCCGTAAGCTTCGGTAAATTTTTTGTATATGTACATGTATATACCTTGAAAATAGTTAATTTAAAGCACTTGGCACCCTGAACAGTAAAAGCCTTTAGGGGGCACTAGTTGAGCAGAACACAGTGCCCCCATTGTGTAAAAATCCTGGATCCGCCTCTGCAGACATATCTCCCATCCACTTAAACACTACCTTATTTTCTAGCCAGTAAGCATTTACTCCTCTTGAAGTTTTATTTTCCAGTTAAATTATATAAGTTATTTTTCTAGAAAAAAGACGTCCCTTGGAGTATCTGATTTGAACTTGGAACCTCATAAATTCTTTGAACCTTTTTGACCGCTGCTCACTCTGCTTGCATCATGGAGATTCAATCGTGTATACAAACAATTATAATATATTGTTAAATGTAATTCACCCACAGGAACTGAGAAATTTTCTGACCAAGGGGATTCAGCTGAACCCCCTTGGCACCATGTAGGTCCATCGTGTTAGGAACATCGTGTTTTTGCTCTTCTCATGTAGGCAGTTTTTCACGTGTCGTAGGTGCTTATTGTAGATTTTCTTGTCCAGATTGTCACCAAATTTTAGTTGCATTAGGTGGAACATGAGGCAATTTGGATCCTTTAATATATACATCTATGATGTGTTTTAGATGCATATTGTGGTGGTGGACTAACTGGGACCTCCTCTCTCAGTTTATACCAGAATTTGTTATCGGCTGATGCAAAAAACTTATATTCTATCTGTTAAAATATCTCATAGTCAATCATTATAGTTTTTGAAAAATGAGCACAGGTATGTACTCTATTTATAGCATAGTCAAATCTGTTTAGTGATGTAGGAGGTCTTCGACTAGTACTTTTAGGTTTGCAACCTTGTAGGAAATCTTGAACTTTCTAATTTGCATGCTTTTACTACTTCTCTATGCTAAAAGGATCAATTAACTACACCTCAGTCTCAAAATTAGTTGGGGTTAGCGACATGTATACTCTTATGAATATTCCGCTCCTGTGTTTGAAGGATGGAAATTGATCTAACATGTAAAATAGAATGAATAATCTCTTGCGCCAACAATGTTATCATTAGATATTCAATTGTACGGGAAGTAGTATTTTTATTTTTCATTTTGGATCAGAGGGATAAGTTATGAAAGCATTGTCTCTAACCTATTGAAATCATGTTTGGAACTTCTTTCCTGCAGGGAAGGTTGGAGAAAATTCCTCTGCTTTTCTTTTGCCGGATATGAAAGATTACGGGTTAGCATGTTAAGAAAATCACTTTGCTTCTTGGAAGTCCTATCCTTTGAGGCAATAATACATCATGACACTCGAGGACTTCTTTACCTTGACTGAGATGAGTAATGGGCTTACAGCGCCTGCTCGAGTCCAGGAGCTAGTCTCTATCATGCAGAAGGAAAAAGAGCGTGGTGTCAAGAATACTATTGAAATAATGAGACATTGGACGGCTGTTGCAAGCACAATAGCTGCAACTGAGAATAAAGAGTGTCTTGAACTCTTTATCCAGCTAGATGGTCTTCACTTTACGAACAGTTGGTTAAAGGATGCCCAGGAGTTGGGCAGTGACACAAGTGACAATGTAGCCGAAGAGACAATCACTCATTTTCTACGAGCGATTGAAAGACTGCATGTCGACAAGGAGAAATCAGTTTCCTCTGGAATCATGATGACTGTGAAGAATCTCCTTGGCCACAAAAGTTCTAAGATACAAGAGAGGTCTAAAGTATTGTTTGATAGTTGGGAAAAAGAAACAGATGAGGATGCAGTTTCAGTGGGCGAGGAAAAAGTACAGGCATCCATTGATGACAAGACAAGAGTGATCACAAATGTTGTGGGGGAAGTTGTAAATTCAGAACCTTCTCTCGGGGGCGTTTCTCCTTCTGGATCCAGAGAAGAGAAGAGCGAGGAACACATCAATGAGAATAAACTGCTATCTTCAAGGTCCGGTGACATTCATCCGTCCATAGTTAATTATACTGAGGCATTGGACAGAAATTTGCAGCATACAATGTTGGAAGATGGGTCTCCAAATTCTCCGTCTTTGGCAAAATCTGCTAGTGAAGACGAGGAAAAATACCTGACTTATCATGCAGAGAGTAGCGCCACTGCTATTGATACATCCACTTCTGCAGTGGAGAGACACTGTAGTCTTGATAAGCAGAAAGATATTCCTGTTTCAGAGTCTGTTAATTGTTTAAACCACGTGCAAGAAGTCGGCAGTCCAGAAAAATTAGACTCAGCAGTGCCTAAACCATTAGATAACAAAACCTTCTCTTCAGGTCCTGATGCCAGAGAAGATTCAGAGGCTGTCTCTGGTCAAGATTTACAAAGACAAAATGATGCCAAAAATGTAGATGACGGTAAAGAGATATTTTCTGTTGATAATGTATCAGTGGCCAGTTCGAAGGGAAAAATACCAAAAAACAGTGTCTTTGCAACTCATGACAGAGGCAATACAGTGCTTGGAGCTAAAAAAGAGAGAAAGTACGACATTGACATACTGCAAGATTCTCCCAACAAGCATAATGTGGAGCATCCCAAGGATTTGAGTATTGCTTTGATGAAAGTGGATGTTGGTGGGGATGAAAAATGTGTTAGTAATAAAAGTGAGGATGATCTGGAAACTGACACTGAATTTGAAGTACCACAAAGAGGTATTACAATATGTAACGTGCTTGAAAAGAAAGGTGATATTGAATTAGACTATGGCATCATAGATCCTTTAGAAGTTGCTCGACAAGTTGCAATAGAAGTTGAGAGAGAAGTCCAAGAGAGTTGCAGTTCTTCTGAGAAAACACGGGAGAGTAAGGTTCATGAGCCTGATAGCCCAGATTCTAGGAGCGCAAATGGCTCCAATGAGGAAATACCAAAAGGAATGCCTGTTCGGCCTGAGGTTTCACTTGCATACTCAGAAGCTGGCCCAATTAATGTCACAGAGAAGCTAGAGTCCTCTCAGATTACTGATGCTGCTTTGGATCTTGAATCCAATGACCAAAAAGGGTGTGATTTTGATTTGAATCTAGAGGTTAGCTCAGACGACATAGATCGACCAGGAAATCCAATCTCCACCTCCATCTCTGTTGTTTCTGCTTCAAGGGCAGCAGCTGCTCCTGGAGTCCCTGTTCCTCCTTTGCAGTTTGAAGGGACTCTTGGATGGAAAGGATCTGCTGCAACTAGTGCATTTCGGCCAGCATCACCTCGCAAGATTCCTGAAAGTGACAAGGCTGTTTCATCTGGTGGGAGTGACAGCATCTCAAAACAACAGCAAAGTTGCCTTGATATTGATTTGAATGTAGCTGAAGGTGGGGATGATAGACTCGCCGATCTAATTACTGGAAAACAAGCCTCAGTATCATCTACTCTTCCTTCAGGGGAATCTTCTGTTGAAGCTAGCCCCAAAAAATTGGCTAGGCTCGAGTTAGATCTGAACTGTGCTAGTGAGGAGGGTGAAGCACCAACAAATTGGCGGGTGGAAAGAAGACTCTTCCCGGATAGGGGCGATTGGAGTCACTCTCCATCATCGTCGTCATCATCAAAACAACCATCATTAAGAAACTTTGATCTAAATGACCAGCCGACTTTTCTCCATGATTCTTCAGATCTACCTTTCTTCAAGAAGCCGTCTCAGTATACAAACACCTCTGGAGCTATTAATTCAGGTGATTCTGTAGTATCCATCATGGGCATGAAGGTAGACGTCAACCATAAAGATCCTGTTTCTCGGTCTGTTATGTTACCAAATGGCAGGATAGTGGAAAATGCAGTTGATCTTAGTACTGCAAGAAGTGGTTTCTTGGGAATGGGATCT